CTTACATCCTATTGTTCATCAGCATATCCAGTAGCCTCTTCTAAGATTCTGTTTTCCATCTCGGGTAAAGGAAGTGACCAAGACAAACTGAACATCTCACCATGATGTCCCAGTCAAAAGCAAGCTGCAAAGTTTGAAATCCATCAGCAAATCTACTAGGATCTTCCATGTTCTTGGTGTCCTAAACAAAGAATTGGATAAAACACATAGAAAAGGTAGCAAAGATCTACTTTTATTGGAGGTGTAATAGAAGTATACTCTGTAGGGTAAGACTGGGCTGGTGAACAGACTCACAGTGACCATGATAATAAAATAAGAGGTATTTTTATCTGAAGTACCTGGACTGGCTTCTCCCTCATGCAAATAATGCATTGAGACAGTGGTCCTAATAAAAACTCACTTGGCCTGGTGCCATAGTTAAACTGCCGTTATGGAAAGATTTCCTTAGCTTCCCACCATATGTAAACAAAGAATGGAAAATTAGCACTTTCTTGACTGGTTATACAGTTCTCTGTGCAAATACCTTGGGTCTCCATGACTTTGGCAGATTCTTCCTAGTTGTTTGATTGGCTTATCCCAGCCCTAATCTCTTACTTCACCCTCATTATAGAATCCTGGCTGCAACCTGTGTAGTTAGTATGCAATGGTACTAAAACTCTGCTGCCTATCCTAGAACAGAGGTGGTTATTAGACCAGAAAAAGAAACCAAAACAAATGAGTACTAAAAACCAGCAAAAGACTTGAACATTATTTTCTATTTAGGAATCTCTGTCAGTGCCCCCAAACGACCTTTAGTAGGCCAAAGGGGCCCCGAGTGATGAAGATGCTTGCTTCATTCAAATGGTACTGCCAGTGACCTAAGGGAATGTCCAAATGTTACAGACGGTAGATCCCTGGAGGGCGCTTTTCAGTGGGAAACCACTGAAGCTATTCCAAACAACCTTTTCCTTTTTAACAACAAAAGCATTTGTAGGCAGCTGATGTTACAAACAGGAAAGGAGGAGAGGCCGGGGATTTAGCTCAGTGGTTCCGCTGCCTGCCTGTCTCGCAAGTTCAAGGACCTGAGTTTCATCCTTGGTACCAAAAACAAACAAACAAACAAACAGGAAAGGAGGGAGGATTCTGAGGTACAAAAGTCTCCCTGGCAGCTGCTGCAATATCCCTGGAGCCTTGTTCATGGGCTCAGCTAGCCATGAGCAGTCAGTCCCTTTTCCCAGGTGCCTGCCAAGATACAAGCATTTCGGGAGCTGGGACTTGCCTCCTGGCTGGCTATGCCAAATCTGTTATCAGCCACTAAGTTTCATAAGCTCATGTTCATTTTCTAGCTGCTGACTAAATCAAAGAAGTCCCTTTTTTGTAAAAAAAAAAAAAGAAAGAAAAATGATTTATTCAAAGCTAGCTTTGAAGAGATGGAGGAGCCCAGGTGTCTCAAATCATAATTTCACCATGTACAGTTGTGTAAGGATCTTTTTATAGTAAGGAACAGAGGGGAGGGGAAGCACAGAGATAATGAAGATCTCTACCCTTGCTTTGTCACTTCCAGCCACTTAAAACTCACCACCCACCCTTCCTTGTAAAAAGGAAACTGGGATCCAGCTTCCTGGTGTCAGTATCTTTATATTTTCTCTATTCATTTGGGCTGGGAGAGGTAGGGGGAGCTGTTTATGCTCCAGCCCTGAAAATGTTTGAATAAGTTTGGATACATTTAACTCTAAATAAAAAAGAAATCTAACTTTTAAAGTTCTATTCTGAGGTACCAGTTACACTGGGTCAACTTTTTGTTTCACAAATAAATAGTTCTGTCCAATTCTATGAAATAAGTGTATTTTCTTTATGTTCCCCAAACTTCCAAATGAAAATGGACTTGTTGAAATGTTATGGCTTGAAAAATTTAGCTCCTGGTGGCTTGAAAATCAAAAACTAATTGAAAGTTAATTGCTAAGTGGAGAGATTAAAAAATTAAACATGACTTTTTCCAAAGTTGGCAGCACCGTTAAAGTTTCCCAAAATTCAATTTATGTGTGTGTGTGTGTGTGTGTGTGTATACTAATAATAGTATGTTATGCATCAATAGGAGCAACAGCTTTTCCAGGTTCTGCAGTCATCTGAACAAAATTATAGACATTCAGCACATTCCATTAAAATAAGAAAAAAAAAACCCAAGAAAAGAATAATCTCCAGACAACAGCCAAGTTCTGTTGCTGCTGTGGTACCTGGCACCATTTTTTCTATTAGCCTCTTAATCATCATCTGGAAAGAGAACATTCTAGAGTAATATCATTAAATGTAGCTCTGATAAAGCACGGTCCCTACTATGTATCATAAAGCAGGTACTAGATATTTTACATTCATAGAGGTATGATACAGTACTGTCCTACATCAATAATACTAGATTCAGTTTTGGTTTGAAATTTACTTTGTCTGCAAATAAGATTGCTACCCCTGTTTTTTTCTGGGCTCCTGTC